AGGCTGGATGCAGAGGTGGGGTATGACAGTCGATATAGTGTGCTGCATAGGCCTTGAACTAGCAATTGGTTTATGTGTAGATTATGCTGCCCATGTTGGTCACACATTCTTAACAATCCCAAGTGGCTCGCGCAATGATAGAGCTTTTGAAACTGTTACTTCTATTGGTTCAGCAGTTTTATTAGGCGGTGGATCTACTCTTCTTTCTTTATCTCTTTTGAGTATGTCTAAAGCTTACACCTTCCAGTCATTTTTTAAGATTTTTCTACTTGTTATCCTATTTGGTTTATTTAATGGTTTGGTGTTTTTACCAGTCATTCTTTCATTGGTGGGACCTGATGCATACAAAATGCAGGAAATTGTTAAAGATACCTCACCAGAGACTGTTGAATTAAATGGAAAAAATAATGAGAAAGAAAATGATAGTGTTAACACATGACAAAATTAGAAGATCTATTTATTTATGAGCTTAGTGACAATTAATAATATAAAACCTATTTTGTAATGCATATAACAAAAGATAAAGCAAAATATTTTACTGCAACATTGTAGTAATCTCTGTACATTGTAGAAATCTAAATCTGTGACAGTAGTCTCATTTTGGCGATAAGCCTTTGATTGATTAACAAGGTAGTTACCTATATATTTATCAAGTTAATTCACTGTGTCATAGCAATAAAAAATGAAGAATATCACATTCTTATATTAAGGATATATTTTTAAAATTATTCACTATAGGCAAAATTTTTATATAATTTAAAATTTATATTTTGCTATCCATTTTTAAAGAGTATATAAATTTCATGTGGGATCACAAAACTAGTGATGATAGTGTATATAAAGTTGTATTCTACTCAAAAATGTAGATATCTAAAAGTTTACATATAAGTATTTAAATTTTAAATTATTGATAAACAATTTTTTATAAGTAGGCATGTAATATCTCAAGTGTAGTCTCATGTAAATGTATATGAGAGGAGTTGTCTCAGGGTCTTAAGGTATTAGTATTAGGCCTATTTAAAAAAAAAATCAATATTCGGTTACATAACAAGTCATATTCAATAATATATCAATTTATACAATATAATATTACAAACTTAGATATATTTTATCCCTGGACTATTATAATTTTTTCAATAAACTGATAGAAAGAGTTCGACAAAAAATAATATTTGTTACAAGTTAATAAGCTTTTAATGTATGCACAAAAATAATTATTTACTAAAAGTTGAAGCTGAATATAATATTGGAGACTGATAGAATTTTGAATTCAGTGTTTATTGTCATGATTGTTGACAAAATAAAAAATAATTACTTTTATTTTTACTTCAACATCTGTGATTTTGATATTGTATAATAATTAATAATTTATGGTATACAATGACTTAAACCACATTTAACGTCAAGCTCTTGCAAGACTTATCTAGCCGATTATTGTATGGTACCATTTTACCTGTCACGCATAAAATTTATTATATATATATATATATATATATATATATATATATATATATATATATATATGTGTGTGTAAATACAGAACAATGGAACTTTTTATTTGATTAGTAACATCTATTAGAATACTTTGAATAGCAATCAAAACATTAAATAATGTGATCAAGAAATATAAAAAATACTTGACACAAATGTAGTCATTTAAATTTTTTGTACATTTTAAGCTTTAACTGTTATTTTTAAAGTACAGCTACTGAAAACACAATTACTATTAATACCGTGCACTGTCTGTCACATTACAATTGCTAAAAAAATAAGACCATTGTGAATTCAGGTTTGATAAATCATTTACATAAAAACCGATTTTTGTCTTTATAATCATTTAGTATTCTACAACTTTTCAATTAAAAAACTCTCTACTGACCCCAAAATTTTGAGATATTTGAATTTTCTTAAAAGTAGTTTTATTCATTTATATTTAATGATTTTAATACTTATAAAATGGAATGTATAGAATAGTATTGATTATATTCTTAACTCTATAGTTAAAATATCAAAAGTTTATCAATATAATGGAATACACTATAATAATGTCATATACTGCTATACCCCTAAGAAATTATATAGTGCCACTTTTCAGATATTACTGCTTTTTGGTTAGTTCTTTTCTTACGTCTTTATGTAAAAAAATATCAACTTCGTGTCTAATAAACTACATATTAGTTAATAGAATAAAACAACCCTACATCAATTTAAGAAGTCATTTATATAAAAAAATTTTAATAAATGAAATGTGTTCTATGAAATATACCTAGTCAAATATCGGCATTTCTCTCCAAAATGACATTCTATTTTGAGGTATAATAATTTTGCAGACTTCAAACTAATATTTTCTTTTTTGAATTTAGAAATGTCTTCTGTCATTTTTTTTGGTGGTGACGAGACGCCAGTTTTCAAAATTTTATTTCCGATTATGCTTGCTTTGATAGAGTTTATTGAATCCATTTCTGTATCAAATCAAAATGCCTTTATTAACTTCTACTTCGACAATTTCACTTATATATGGACAAGGTTTCATTCGAAATAGTTTATACTGTATAGTAATCTTCTCAATTATAAAAATCTTGTATTTTTCCCGCAGTACTAACTGTTTGGGAAAAGTCTGAAAATTCATAGATTTTGTTTTTCATATGTTTCATTGACAACTTCACTCTATGGTGGAAGCTGTCGGCCGACAAAGGTATGACCTGGTTCAAAGTACCCATTTTATCACTTCATTTGAATTAACAATGTAAATTAAAAAAGAAACGAATGGCTAATTTTTGATTTGTGATGAACAATTGTCAATCCATAGTATGATATTCTTTTTATCGCGGTGAAAAATAAATAAATGATAATATGTACTTATGTTTACATTTTTTGAGCGTCCAAACAACCCTTAATACCATAGTACAGGAAAAACACAAGCCGTTTCGGCCTGGACCAGTCGGCACGAAACTCGTTGTAAACCACAATTCTATGGGTGAAAATAGTGGTTTTGAACATATTGATCCTTGGCAGCATGATAACTTTTTGTAAGTCTGCGGAGTATACAACAGTATCAGTTTTATTTAACTCGCTGTCTAATTTATATTGCTGTCTTCACAAGATTGCTCTTTCGTTATGATTAGCCCACTTAGTAAATGATGAACAGTTTTCATGGAGGTTTTCTTTAGTATGTGTGCTATTGTGCAGACGAAATTCTTCACAATCCTCACACTTCGTGCTTTGAGCTTTACAAACGATATGTTTAATTCCCGAACTACTTCGCGGTATTTGTCATAAGAGATGTTGTGAGGTTTTTTTTTTAAAAAATCGTGCATGGAATTTATTGTCAAATCACTAGGTAAGTATAAGCGGTTAGGGGCCGTGTTCACGTCTATGATGGGAAATGTTTGGGTTAAAGTTCAGTAAGTGTTCCTTAATAGGATTGCAGTCAATTTTATTATGAGGCGTAGCTCCAAGTCTCTTGGGTCCTTTGATTATATACTGGTATATAATTACAAAGTTATCTACTGGCGATGCAACTAGGGTTGCCAGGCCTTAAAACCGAAAAGCCGGACAGACCAGCGAACTTAGCCGGACATTTTGGTAAAAAAGCTGGACACCCTTAATTTTTTAGTCTTGGTAAAACGACAATATTTTTGAAAGTAAAAGTGAAAGTTTAATATTTACCGTAAAATCTTCTTAAATTCTAATGAAATAACAATAAAGTCTTCTTTATTATTAATCATTCAATATTCATTACAATATTAATTTCAATAATTGCAATGGTATGTATGTAATTTTTAAATACTAGTCTCGTGGAATAGCAAAAAAATTTCACAATCGCCACATATTATATGTACGCACTGCCAGCCACAAAAAAGTTTTTACATCGTTTTTGCAACCCTTTAGCCCTTACCTTTTACTTTTAAACTAATTCCAAGACTCGTTTTGATCAATTAAAAATCTAAAACATACTCAAAAACAAAGCTATATATTGAAGCAAATACGTCTGCGACGAATTGTGCTCAAAAGTTAGCACAAAAGTTTTAATAAAAATAAACTTATGTTCAGTTGTTTTAAGAAAAAGTTCATGTAAAATTATAATACAATAGGACTAACTTGAAACACGAAATTAAGCCACTAAACGCTGTATAGTTCACAGGATTTTTATTAAATTTACAACAGAAAATCAAATATCACCTCATTCCAACGAAAACAAACAAATAATGACATGAACTGTCAAAAGAAAAGCAAGTTGCTGTAAAATGGATAAAAATCCGACCGTATTAAAAACGTAAGAAACACACAACAAATAGATTTGACGGTGCAGTCGTACAATCGCACAATTGGTCAAATACAATTGCGATAGCGAAATAACAGTAATTCAAAATTCACTTCCCGCGTAAAACTTGCCGCTTATTGGTTTAGAAAAATTGCTGTTGTTTTTGAAGCGATTTGGCAGTATCTAAATATACGGCTGGTTGCCTAAGCAATATTGATATACCTCTAAGTCCCTTACTAATTTAAGCTAAAACTGAGATTGGTAAAACTTTCTTAGGGTTTTTATCATGTTTTGAATAAGATACGGCTGACAGGCTTGGTTCAGTAGATGCGTATTTGTTTATGATATCCGATGACACAAAAATCAAATTTCACGATTTTTTTTTGTGAGATAGTTTGGGGAAGGTCGGGTAAAGTGGCCACCCTAAGGCTTGAATGACTGCCTATTAGATAAATATCAAAAAAAAAATACGTTACTTTATTAATGTATTCTCTCTAACTAGTGTAGTTTTGACATCACATTTTTATTTTGACTTATATCAAGACATTTTATAGTATTTTTAAGTTTAAAGTCGAAATGGGAAATTGAGAACTTTACCTACCCAGGTTGGGTAAAGTGGCCTAGTCTCAATAAAATGCAATTATTTTTAGATTAATTTAAGTTTTGTTTAAATTTGATTTAGGAAATAATTAAATACGACTAAGGGACTAAAAGTTTATTCATTATTTTTCATTAATCACAAACAAATATTCTTAAGAACAAGCTTCCCATTTCTACGTTTCTTATAGCTTTTTCCATCGTAATTGGGTCCCTTGTCTGCTGCTGCGATGTCGGTCTTTTTTATGTAATTGGCATATCTAAAACAATAAAATACATTATTTATATGTACAAGAAAAATTAGCACTAAAGTGGCCTAGTAAGACACTTTTTTAGAAACGGCACGCATGGAGGAAAAAAACGATTCAAATTTCAAATGAGGTTATGTTGACCCTCTTGAAATAACCGTTACCGTGAAATAAACAGTTCATTAGAGGGATTAACTGTTAAAACATGACATTGTTTTGTATTTATAATAAACGCAGTAAATTATTACAATGTTTAAACCACTTACCTTAGATCAGACCCCACAAAAACCACCTTTTTGTCATAAAATCTGTCCGCATGAACTGAGCGCGTCGGTGTTTACTAGAGCAATATGGCGTGGGCCCATGAATAATTTCCATAAGCCATTGACAAATGGCGCTTGGATCTTAAAGAGAAGATGGCCACTTTACCCGCCTGGGCCACTTTAACGAACCTTCCCCTACCGCTTTTGCGCTTAGTAGAACAGAAAAGTGGATTTAAGTCACTTGTACTATAAAATAAAGTTATACACGGAACTTAAGTAGCCGATTAAAGAACCGTGTGAAGTTAGCGCACGAGCGAAACGAATGTACTCACTAATCACGTTTTAATAATCATTATAATCGGCTGCTTAAGTCCCTTGTATCGTAATGTAGGTACTATTATTTTTCTATAATATACCAGTGTGAGTGTTTGACCGCTCTCCCGACCAATGGTGTATCCGAAAATTATAAAGCGCACAATTAATCATAATAATAGCCCTAACCTGGACTTTTTACAGTTAACCTTAGAATAACAGTTTCAACGAAAAAATTTGCTCTTTTTATTATTTAAAAATGATGTAGGTATTATTTAAAACTTATAATGCAAATTGTATTATTGCGTAATTATTCTAAAATATGATATGATCTTAGTGATGTAATTAAAAGTTTTGTATTAAATGTTGTTTTTTAAATGCCATTGTACCTAAACACCACTTCTCACTTTAAATTTTTAGGGAAAAGACTCGGTAGTTAGAGAACTAGAAATGCTCGTGTAACATAATTTATGTGTGTGAAAAAGGTACCTAGTTTTAAGCTGTGATTATTTAAGACCACTGTAAATAAATATTTTTAAATAACTGTTTTATGTAAATTATTTAATCCCCTATATATATATATATATATATATATATATATATATATATATATATATATATATATATATTATGCTTCTATTTAAGAGTAGGGTCAGGTGAGGTAGATGCGAATGCAAAATTAATATTTACCATGTGCATCAAGCATTTAGTAAACTAAAGTTTTATATAACTTCTTAATTAAAATCATTAAAATCATCAGTTGACGGAACTTTACCACATTTTTAAAAATATGGGTCACTTATTACATTTACCCGGTGAACAGGGGCAAATGTAATAACGTTGCTCAGTTTATTCGAACTATGTAGATAGTTTTAAATCAGGGGTAATAGCAACAAAACACTTAAATTAACTTTCAGTTTTTATTTCAATAAGATCAAGTGAAAACTTAAAGATATGAACTTCAGTATGCAGTATTTTGACAACGGAATCAGCGGTAATTAAATCCACATCATCTATGGTAGGCCATACAAATGTTGCACCCTTGCAGCGTACAAACTTAACCTGCCAACGAACGTCTTTTTTTTGCTCGAAGCCTACATAACATATTTACGAGGGTGGATTGAAAAGTACTCGGCCTAACACAGATCCATTCAATTCTAAAAATCAAATCTACCCACATTATTTAGTTCAGTTCAGACTAGTTCATTGTGTGAAGTTCGAAACGTGTGCGATAATTAGTTGTGATTTTATAAATTTATTAACAAAGTAATCGGACATAATTTCCGCGAATGGAGCAAATCGAGCAGCGTGCCGTCATTAACCCACTCAATGCCACCAGATTTTTTTTTCTTTTCTTTATGATCCACTTTGTTTTTTTTTTGTTAATGGGTTTGAAATAAATATAACTATCTATATAAATAGTCAAATAATAAAAAAAACTCAAAATACATAAAAAAAACCGTAAACTCATATGTTGCGTTGGTGGCACACAGATATTATTTTCTTTGGGCAGAGCCGGTAACGCAAGCCTTGCGTTGGTACAATGGATGATGTTATGCAATCACATGCGTAACTAGCAAAAAAATAATAATGACTGAAAATCTGCAATGAAAAAGTCTTTATGAAAAAGAAAGTACTTAAATAAAAGTTCTAATTGGAAACATGTTTTATTAATTAATAATTGTGATACAATTTAAAGCAGTTGGTAATGCAAAGACCAGGCTGCTCATCACAATCGGGACAGTAATAAGGGGTGTCTTTACGTTTTTTTTCTATTTCCCAACATACTTTACATCTCCGGCGCATTGACTTTCCCTTCCGAGGACAAGGTTGTAATACATGGACTTTAGAAAAAGTGCGAGAATTTGTAATATTCACATCAGGAATTAAACTCTCGATCACTGACAATCGAAAATCATATAAAGACTTCTTAGTACCTGATAGTAGGTTGTATATGGTGAAAGAATTATACAGCATTTGTTGTAGAATATGAATTCCCAACTTTTTATACCACCTGACAGTCTTATGCTCACAGCTGTAATACGATAACATTTGATCCTGATGATCAACTCCGACCATATTTTTATTATAATTTATCACTATATTTGGTTTTATTATTTCCGTGTTGCGACGTGTTGTAGTTGGCGTCATTTGTGCATCGTATTCTGATGAAATTACAAGGACATCACGATTGTCTCGCCATTTCATTACGCAGATACCTTTTTTATTATATTGAGCAACATACTCACCCTTTTTTAGCTTTTTGGTAACTACTTCTTTAGGGTTTTTTTTTCGATTTTGCCTTAGGGTGCCCGTACAATAAGTTTTTTGTGACAAAAGGTTTTCTGCCAAATCAACAGAGTTATAAAAATTATCCATATACACAGAATAACATTTGTTCACATAATCTTGTAATAAATTCAAAACGACTTTTGAAGAATGGTTAGTACCACCGATAGTCGTATCGCCTGCACCAGCATAAACTATTGTTTATAGAATAATTCCGTGAACATCTGCCAGGAAATATAGTTTTATACCATATTTATTGTGTTTGTTTTTAATATATTGACGAAATATAAGACGTCCTCTCCATAACACTAATGACTCGTCAATACATAAATTATTAGATGGAAAATAAATTTCCTTCATCCGATTATTAAAATATGTAACGAGAAGCGAAATTTTTGCCAACTTATTGTCATCAACATTATTGTTTTCGAAGTGAAGGACTCTTAAAATAAGCAAGAATCTATTCCGGCTCATATGTTGGCGGAAAAAGGTAAGATTGAATAATCGATTCTTTTTCCAATAATCTTGAATTCGGTTCAATTTTATGGTGCCCATATGGAATAAGAGTCCTAAGAAAACTTTGAATTCTGGCATAGTTATATCTTTCCAATATTTTAACCTACTTCCAGGAAAATTTTGCGCTAATATCCGAGACGCATTCTCACTGCTTTTTTCAACAATCATTTGAAGACATTCATTTGTCACTACAAGATTGAAATAATCAATTGGTTCTGAACCCTCAGGTTCAATTTTTAATCCTACAGGATTTCCTTCAAAATTAATTCTTCTAGTCTGTCTATAGTGATTTGACCATTCTTGATCTTCCTCAGTATTTCTTGGGACTAATTCGTCTTCACTTACAATTGATGTGTCGCTATCATTGTCAGAATGATTCATATTCTCAATGAAATCAGGATCAAAAATATCGTCGTCATAATTCTCATCAGGGTCTTCAAGAATTTGTAGTAGTTGTTCATCTGATATGGGTAAGTTTTCATTTTCAGATCTTTTTGAGAGATTTTCATGTTCTGAAGTGGTTCCAATGATGTCTGTTAATTCTTCTTCAATACTTGTTGTCTTTCTATTGGAAGTAGAAGCTGAACAAGATTTACCACCACGTGTCCTTACACGTTTGCATGGTCTCTCTTGGGTAATTGGTGGCTTTTCATCCTCTGAACTGGTCTCGATATCCGATATCAATGTAATACTTGTCTTTCTATTGGAAGTAGAAGCTGAACAAGATTTACCACCAAGTGTCTTTACACGTTTGCATGGTCTCTCTTGGGTAATTAGTGGTTTTTCATCCTCTGAACTGGTCTCAATATCCAATATCAGTGTTGTTTTAATATTTGAGATATTCTCTTTCGAAATACAGGATGAACCAAACTTGTCACCACGTACTCCTACATGTCTGCGTGTTTTCTCTTGGTTGCCTTTTAACTCAAACAAAACTTGTTCATAACTAGACTGTCTAGAAGTATCAGAATCCCTTGTATCTAGCTTAAAAGAACAGGGCATTATTTCTTTTTCGCTTATTTTAACCATCACAGACTTTCCAGCGTTTTCTCCTATATTGATTCTAGAATTTATTGGTTGTGGTAACGTACCACTTACATTAAAAATAGCTCCCTGTGAATTATCTGATATAGGTTTATCATTTTCTACAATATCTATGACCATTAATTTAGGATTCATTATTTTATTTTGACTTATCTAACTTCGTAATGGGCCAGATGTTGATGTAAATTGCATTGCAGATTGCACGAATTCTCTTACAGTAGATTCATGGAAAATAGGAATGGACAATTCCAGTTTTTTTAAATGAGGCGAAGGATCCCTGGAATTTGTGAAGACATTTGTATTTTTTTAAACCGTAATTTGAATAACAGCGCGTATAAATAATTATGTATGTTAAATACCTACCTTTTTGAATGCTGAATATTGTGAATTATAGATTCTGCATGGTCTAATGCATTGCAAGATTCTGTATGAGTCTCACATTCAAAATGTGTTGATAATACCTTTGCTCGTCTCCTGGTCCAATTTTGGTCAGTGGATCTGAAAATATCAAAACAACATTAAGAACAATCAAAACAAACATGCTAGATAACTGTTTATTTAAAATTACGTACATTGATGGCAAAAGTATACCCTCTTGTGATGAATTTAGAGATTCTATATTAGATGCCGGTTTGACATGTGTTGAAACAGATCTGGCTCGTTTCCTGTAAAAGACATTTACTAAAGAAAATGAAACAAATATTTTTGTTGCTTACTTGGAATAGGTGGAAGTTGGTACTTACTTATGAGAATGATAAAATGTTTGAGCCTGTGATGTGGAGGAATTATATGAATCAGACCTAAATTCAGATGTACTTTGAAATTGTGCTGACAAAGACCTTGCTCGTTTCTGCCCCAATCTTTGACTAGAACCACAAGCTGTAGTATTTGAAACCCGTCTGTAATAAAGAATACATACATATATATATATATATATATATATATATATATATATATACATATATATATATATATATATATATATATATATATATATATATATGTACAATAAACTTCAAACCAATTTCAAAATTATATAGTACACAATACAATTACAATACAAAACAAAGTAGGTACACAATTAAAGTTAAGTTACAATTTTGACTTACCTATTTGAAGTGTTCAGGGAGCTGTTATCTGTATCTATTTGATTAAGAGCTAAATTCACCAGCCTAGCACTGCGCTGTTTTTTGCCATATGCCATTTTTCTCGATATTTATCTAAAAATAAATAATAAAACATAAATGAAATGTGCATTTTTATGACTTGCACTGCATCTATTAAGTATTTTTATTTTTACTTTTGTAGTAGGTAGTGAACATTATAATAAAACCAAGCTACAGAAGTTTGTTATTCAACTGATTACTAATTACACTACATCTCATAAGTAGACACAAATAATAATCAGAAGAATTACACTAACAAAGTAATGAAAATGTTAGCCATAATACCATCCCAACAATTATTGTTCGTGTGTGCCATTCAACGCACCATTTGCGTTGAAATTTGAATATTATCGTTATCGTCGGAATCTGAATATAAATGTACAATCTACAGAAATAATGAATGATAATAAGCACTTACCTTACGATTTTATATAATTAATCACGAATAAACATACAATTTACGACGAAAATCACAGCACTTTTCCCACTTGAAAAAAAACCATCGAAAATGTCACTTTCTGTTTTGAAAATAACGAACCATCAAATTTGACAGATAGCAGTGACGTTTGTCTATGGTTTATCGATAAAAGTATTCGCATATTTCTGAACGCACTCACAAAAAATATTTAGTCAGTTTATGATAGTCACAACGCATATGGTGCGTTGGTGGCAAACACCAAGAAGTGTGCGGAACGCAAGGGGTGCGTTGCCGGAGGCGAATGGGTTAAGTACCTCCATAAGAAGGGGCTATCATCAAAAGCCATCCATGATGACATGGTTAGTACATTAGGCGATTGTTCTCTGTCATATTCATCCGTCAAAAAATGGATAGCAGAATTTAAGCGTGGTAGAGAGAGTGTGAAAGATGAACCCCGCTCTGGAAGGCCTTCGACGTCAACTACTGACGAAAATATTAAAAAAGTACTTGATTTAATAATGGGAGACCGCAGATTAAAAATTAGAGAGATAGCCGAGATTATAGGCATCTCTTATGAACGAACTCAAAACATCATTGTCAACGAGTTGGGTTTCCACAAGGTGTCTGCGAGGTGGGTTCCGCGACTGCTTTCAGTTGAACAAAAAAGGACGCGATTGACTATTTCACGCGACTGTTTGGAGTTATTTGAAGCCGATGCAGATGATTTTTTTCTTTTGTTACGACGAAACATGGGTTCATTACTGTACACCGGAAACAAAACAACAATCAAAACAGTGGAGAAGACCTGGTTCACCACCCCCTAAAAAAGGCTAAGTCGATTTTGTCGGCAAATAAGGTAATGGCTTCAGTATTCTGGGACTCGAAAGGTGTGATTATGATTGATTATCTTGAAAGGGGTCAGACTATAAACTCTGATTACTACTGCACCTTACTACGTCGTTTACGAGAGGAAATAAAAGAAAAACGTCGAGGAATGCTCAGAAGAAAAGTCCTGTTTCATCAAGATAACGCCCGTGTTCACACGTCAGTACAGTCAATGGCTGAAATTCACAACTGTGGCTTTGAACTGTTACCGCATCCGCCGTATTCACCTGATCTGGCACCATCAGACTTCTTTCTGTTCCCTAACCTAAAAAAGCACTTGAGAGGTCAAAGATTTTCGACAAACGACGAGGTCAAAGCAGCTGTAGACGCATATTTTGACTCTAAGGAAGAATCATTTTTTTTTCAACGGTCTAAATGCTTGGAAGGGGAGGTGGCAAAAGTGTATTGAACTTGATGGTGATTATGTAGAAAAATAAAAATATAACTGATTTAGTATGTGTTTATTTTCTTGGTTAGGCCGAGTACTTTTCAATCCACCCTCGTATGTCCTTTTATCAAAGTATATTTAACGATCTCCCATTTATTAATACCGATATTTTATTTTCTTTGTTCATTTTCGCCATAGTATTTTCATTAAATGACTCAAAAACTTTAAGTTCCTCCTCTCCACACGTTTTCGTCAGAATCATGAAAAAAAGTGCGTGCTTTTCTATCCAGGGCGTTAAGCTCAGTCTGAGTCCACCTGAGTATGCCAAAGGTATACATGAGGACAAGCATGACCCAACCGTTATATGCGCGTGTCTTATTCACACTGGACAAAAGGCTGGGTCAAGCGTGCATATAACATGTTGCAAACTGACTGTTTAATACCCACTTCATCGATACCGGTGTTCTATTATTATTATTTTGGGGTATCTATGTAGTTTTCTCATCTGGTTGGGTTACATAAATATATAATTGTGAATTAAAATGATAAATATACCTAAATAACAATAAATTAAAATAAATACATAAATAATGAAAAGCCCAACCAGATGGAAGCCCTCGGCAGGGTAGAACAAACGGCCAACGGTTAGGGGGAAAGGCAAAAAACCGGCGGACAATGCGGGCGGTATCGAGGAGCACCGCCTTCTGCATTTGAGCTCGGAACAGTCCGTCACGGAGTCCCAGTCGCCTCAGATGACCCAAGAGGCTGACTGGGATTAGTCCGTTTGCACAAACGACTACAGGTATAATTTCGGTCGACAGCCCACCCCATATGTTGGTCACCTCGTGAGCCAGGTCCAGATATTTTGTTCGCTTATCTGTTTCGGTTTTTACGAGGTTCTCGTCGTATGGAATGGTAATGTCGACCAAAAATATCCTTGACTGTACCCGGTCCATCAGCACAAAATCAGGCTTATTCGCAAAAATAGTCCTGTCTGTGCTGATGGCCCGGTCCCAGTAGAACCTGGCGCGATCATTTTCGAGCACGGCTTCCGGCAAGTACTTGTAATACGGCAATTTCCGATCCACGAGACCGTATTTCAGAGCGAGCTTCTGGTGTAGAATTCTGGCTACTAGGTTATGCCTGTGCAAGTACTCAGAGTTAGAAAGCGCCGAACAACCGGAGATGACATGCCTAAGTGAATCACCGTGATGGAGTCATGCTCGACAGATGTCGACGGTGCCATCCTTTAGGATGTATCTCCGATAGTTGTTGGTCTTAATAAACTGATCCTGTATCGCACAGACAAAACCCTCGGTTTCCCCGAAGAGGTCACCGAAATGTAGCCAGTTGAGGGAGGCAACTATGACTACGAAAGGTTTGGAAAGCCTTGTTGAACCTCCCGTGGAGCTCCTTCTCCTTCCATACGGTCTCCCGGTCGGAAATGCTCTGCACTGGTGGGCCTTGCCATTGCTCGTTGGCTAAGGATAGAGGGGTAAGTCCTTTATCACAAAAAATTACGTCCTTATAGAATGGATCATCCGATCTCATGAGAAAGTAATTACGGAGGCTGCACACTTTGCGATTATGCATGGTAAGCGTGCTTAATAAGCCACGCCCACCATATTTCCGCGGCAAGTACAGCCTCATAATCGACGATCTCGGGTGATGCATCCTATGTGCCGTCATAGTAGAGCGGACTTTTCTATCCAGGGCGTTAAGTTCAGTCTGAGTCCACCTAAGTATGCCAAAGGTACACATGAGTACAGGCATGACCCAACCATTACATGCTTGTGTCTTATTCACACCAGACAAAAGGCTGTTAAGCACTTTGGTCAAACGTGCATAAAACATGTCGCAGAATGACTGTTTCGTACCAGCCTCATCGATAACGATGTTCTGTGACATACCCAGGTTATAGTATCTTGAAGTCTTGCAGTTGTATGCTTGGGTTGGGTTTTAATTTTATTAATTACAGGATCGTCGTCGAAAACCTTAGCCCCCCCCCCCCCCCCCCGTGAACATGCGTGCTGTAAAGTGCTCGAAACGTCGGGAATACAAAAAAGTTAATATACGCAATAAAATTGAAGTCTTGCAGTTGTATGCTTGGGTTGGGTTTTAATTTTATTAATTATAGGATCGTCGTCGAAAACCTTAGCCCCCCCCCCCCCCGTGACCATGCGTGCTGTAAAGTGCTCGAAACGTCGGGAATACAAAAAAGTTAATATACGCGATAAAATCCGTACAAATTGGTTTTATTTAAATGTAAAAAAATATGAGAAACCGTTACATATTTATTTTTACAATTATATTTCCACTCATTTTAAATTTAAGTTAATGAACTTATATGAATATTTTTTTAAACTGGCATCTCCATTGAAATTGCCACAGTCATACCACATACAGTCATACCAAATATTATAAAAATAGAAATTTGCTATTTTTATATCTTAAAACCCTGATTTAGTTAGTATTTAAAAAGTAGTCAATAATAGCACATTTTATTTAAAATCCTCTCTAATATGTAAAAAAGAGCGTTATATTCATTACAAAATAATTTTAAAATACGTTATGGCTAAGGAGTGTTCAATTCAATTTTGAGGTAGCATGCTCTGCTACTACTGCTGCTCGGGTGCCAAGCAAAAAGGTCTGACAATAGTTTTTATTGTGCATAAGTGAATTTGGATTACCATTACACCAAATTCATAAACTATTATTTTTCCTAATTTAATATTAAATCGTTTCGGAACGTAAGGGAGCTTACCTCTCCCTTCTTACATTACTTGAGTATTTAAATATTTTTTAATTTACACCTTGAATAATGCCTGAAGAGACAGCAGAAGACTGTAAACTATTTAAACTTAATCAGTGGGCACATTGGACACGACTGGCTCCCCGTTCTTTAATAATTGATTCAATTTGGTCTTGATCATACTCTGTGAATCTCATAAGTGATTCTGAATCAATTTACAAAATTTTATCAACTCCAAAAGTTAAGCGGGATGTTCAAACTTGATATCTCACAATACCAAAATAAAGATACACAATGAATTCACCTAACTGAAAACGAATAAAACGCTTTGAATATTTTTGTTATGAAGAAATGGTACCATCTATAAGCGATGTATATAATTGTAATGATTATATTATATTTAATTGTATAGTTCAATATAGCCTTTCGAGTGATGTCGGGACTGCCGTGTTTTGCAGTGCATCAGGGATGTAGTACTAAGCCGACGTATCGTATCTCTTATGTGCAGAGTGCGAGGAGCTCCAATACTATTTTGAAGGTTATTAGTGGTAGAATAGAATAATTTTTTATTTAATATACATTACAAGTAATTCTT